TATTCTACCATTCTATCATCATCCGTCACATATTCGAAATCTGCATTTTCATCATCGCTAGTATTATCGTCATCATCATCGGTTTGATTTTCTACATCCATTACACTTTCACTTTCAACTTCATCATCTTGAAGTGTATCCAATAACTCATTTATATTTAACTCAGTCATATGATCTTCAATATTGCTCGAAGACGATCTGACATTTTATAATCCTCACTACCATCTGGGTTAAGCGTAAGCCCAGTTGCTTTGAACGATCTGACTAACACATTGGAACTAATTTCCTTCCAGATTTTAGACATCCATTTGCTAACAAGTTCATACAAAGCTTTCTTATGGTTTTCATTTTTAGTAAGTACTACTTTTCCTTTATCAATCCACTCTTTCCATCTTTGTCTCATTCCATTTTTAAATGGCTTATTAATCGAAACGTCTAGTGGTTGCAAAACGCTAGTGGTTCCTCCGGGTATTTCTAAAAGATCAAGCCCTTCTACTATAAATGCTCTTTTTATATCATTACGAATATGACTTTGATGACCATCGACAAATATAATGCCTTTACATTTAAAAAAACCATTTGGTCTTGCCCGAATAGCTTGAGGAATATACGTAGAAATTATAAGGTCTGCTTTCATATTCGCATGAGGTGCTGCTGCAACAATGATATCACGTGGAAATTGGCCTTTGGGCTTTTTTTTCAATTTAAAAATTACCATAGGTGGAAGTTTTACTCCAGAAGCCATATAACCCAAAACTACAGTGAATCATAATTTATCACTACCAGTAGTCTTTATTGGAACCTCGCATACACCTTTAAAATCATATGTTGAATTACGAGGCATGTCGAACCACATAGGCGTTTCGTCGAAAAAGATAATAAATTGGTTTTCAATAATACTTGTTTTTTCTTGTGAAATTTTGAGAAAGTTTTTAATAACTACAAGCATATTTTCAGGAAATTTTTGTGCAATTTGTGTTTGTGTTCGTTCTACCAAACCATGCCATTTTCTAAAATGTTCACACCAGCCGCGTGAAAACTTGGCATCCCTAATACCTAAAGTTTCACCTAACTCCTTTGCTTTTTTTTTGATCATTGAAGTTGTAACTGCAATTTTTTCTTTTCTCTTTTTTTTAATATATTCAACTAATTCATTTTCTAGCTCAGGATATATAGGTTTTCGACCTCGACCACTAAGAACGCATGCTTGATCTATATTCAAATCTCTATTTTCTTTAACAGCCTCAAGTTTTGATTTTTGCTGCCTCCATTCTTGAACCCGCCTTCGATCAATTTTGTGAAATATTGCTGCACGACGATTAGATGTTTCTTCTGCATAAGCGATTACGTTGAGTTTAAATGCGATAGTATAACTGCGACTTTTGTTTGTGTGATCCATTTTGTTTGTAAATAAAGTAAAAAATTGTACGTGAAATAAACAAATGATAAAATTTAAATATATACCGTGATTGGGTAGTACAAAAATTTCTTCGTAAAAAAAAAGTCCCGTAAATGCCTAATATTTATTCTTATAGCTTTAATTTGCTACAAGAGTAACTCGCATTAAATGTTCTATTAGCACAACTCTCATTCCAGCAAATTTCTGATAATAAATTATAATGGCATTTCCTTTTAACTTTAATACTGTGTAATGTAATATGTAAATGTTTTATGTTCGATCTTTTAAACCCCAATGCTATAACAATAACTCAATGCCAAGGTTGTAACAATACTATTAATTAGAATTTCCTATATGCAGATTGTTGATAATAAATGAATATTTTATACACATTCTTTTTTTTTATTTTATAAAAAAATTAAAGTTAGGTATGATGCTACGTAATGATGCCAAAGAACAGAAAAAGATAGAGAAACAAATTTACAAGCGATACTTTATATATGCGCCAAGTAGAGTCAATTAATACGTAATGGGGTTGTGAAACATATAAATAAATAAATAAATTCAATATCAATTAAATAAAAATTAGAATAAAAATGGCAAATAAAAAATAAATAAAAGTTAAAATAATAATGAGCTAATAAAAAAATAGCAAATTGGTGTTATTTCAAGTAGAAGTTCATATATACATTATGCTAAAAGTGGTCATTGAGAATAATATTAATTGTTCTTCTATTCTATTTATATAAATTATAGAATAGTATCAGCAAATTTAATAGGGCGTAATATTGCGCAATAATTTACGAAGCGTAAGAAAACCGTAATATTATGTAATAACT